AATTTTTTAAGTTTTTTTATTGTTTTATATTTGAAACTTACTCCTTTTTTAATTTTTATTGGTTAAATCTGAAACATCGTTTTTGTAGAAATTTCAACTGTTTTATTTAGTGTTCAGCTATAAAAATACTGCCTAGTTATAAAAATATCACCCAGTTATGATTGGTGATGATGGGTGCGGTATTTTTCCGAGATCCGAGTTTTGGACGTATACATAGCAAGCTCCATTATAATGAGATTTGGTTTTCTCGACAATTTCGTTTGAATCCACTGTTATTCAAATATTTGTAATAGTTACCCATCATTATCCTTCTGTGAGTTCAGGTAGACAACCTCAGAAGTTAAAAAACATTCACGCGAACCCGTCTAGGAGGTGACCCACATAGGATAAACGACCCCTACAGGTAGGTTTCTTAACTAGATCGCCAAAAGTAACAATTTTTAGGTTATACTCAGGTAGTGTCAACAGATTTTTTTCTCCCCCTCAATTGAAAATATACAGATGGATAAAAGTGAGTAACATAATCAATTACATAAGACCGAGGCCAGGTGGCGTGTGAACACGCATTTATTTCTCCTATTAAGAACTAAGGCATAATATGTATGATTAGGACATTAGCTCCACGAGCACAGATTTGATTTAAAGAAAAAAAATGGTTCCTTCGAAAAGACAAATCATTAAAACTTTAAGTTAATTCGAAATAAAATGCTTATAATACGTTTAAGTCACGCAGTCGTTTTTGGTTTATGGATTTTTCACATAAAACTCTCAACACACAAAAGTATATATCTTACTTTTGCTTTGTAAATTAGCAAATTGGTAAGGTGCATTAAGTTACTATTAAGAAGACTGAGAACGTAGAATACTATAACAGAAATGTTAATGTGAATGAAGTAATGCCTAAACTTATTAATCAGTTAAATATACTTTATGACATTTTAATACAATAGAAACAGAAATGGTAATGTGAATGAAGTAATACCTAAACTTATTAGTCAGTTAAATAGACTTTATGACATTTTAATACAATAGAAACAGAAATGGTAATGTGAATGAAGTAATACCTAAACTTATTAATCAGTTAAATATAACTGACTAATAAGTTTAGGTATTACTTCATTCACATTACCATTTCTGTTTCTATTGTATTAAAATGTCATAAAGTAAATAGACTTTATGACATTTTAATACAATAGAAACAGAAATGGTAATGTGAATGAAGTAACAGCTAAATTTATCAGCTCTGTTCCCCGTTGGGTCGATATAAATTGATGGACTTACAACGCTAAAATATGTTTGCTTGTACTTATTTTTAATTTCATAGGAAGTCTTTATACGGACTTCATAGTGAAGACATGTTTAGTACTTCTGACTGTAATCTGTTTTACTATATAGGAAACATATCGTTAATGTGTTGACTTTATAAGGAGGAGACATCTGATCATACAGACTGTATAAGAATTTCCATGAACAGGCTAAAGCAGACTGTATAAGAATTCCCATGGACAGACTAAAGCAGACTGTATAAGATTTCCTATGGACAGACTAAAGCAGACTGTAAAAGAATTCCCATGGACAGACTAAAGAAGACTGTATAAGAATTCCCATGGACAGACTAAAGCAGACTGTATAAGAATTCCCATGGACAGACTAAAGCAGACTGTATAAGATTTCCTATGGACAGACTAAAGAAGACTGTATAAGAATTCCTATGGACAGACTAAAGCAGACTGTATAAGAATTCCTATGGACAGACTAAAGCAGACTGTATAAGAATTCCTATGGACAGACTAAAGAGTAAGATTATATTAGCCCGTACGGGAATCTGTTGGTGTGTGTTTTGTAAGGTGTGTTGTAACTAAAATTATCTAATATTAATTATGTACACTGTCTTACAGATTACCTTGTATGTCAACAATATATGCTGTTCCATCTCGTGGAAAGGAAAGATGAGATACATTGTAACTAGTTTAGAATATATTAATTAATCCGATTTTTTTTCCAAAAGTTTCATGTGAGTGTTATGTAGGTAGTATAACATTTATTAAAACCTAATGTCAGTAGGTCATAAACATTTATTAAAACCTAATGTCAGTATGTCATAAACATTTATTAAAACCTAATGTCAGTAGGTCATAAACATTTATTAATCCTTTTCCTCAGATTGCATATGTCAACGATTAGAAACTTACTCACTTTAGGCCTGTGTCTCATCCCCCCTGGGGAAGGGGTTAGAAACTCATACACTTTGGCTCTTTGTCTCATCTCCTTGTGGAGGGGGTTAGAAACTCATAAACTTTGGTCCTGTGTCTCACCCCCTCACCCCTGGAGAGGGACGAGCCTATCTCAAGAGATGACACGGATACTTGAACAAGTTGGTATGAGTTAGAGATCTAGAATATTTGGTGATGTATGCAGCGTCGGACTTTGGTATACTGCACTTTTTATGTTTGCTCTGAATTTTGGGCGGTATATCAGAATTCCCCTTGTCTTTGTCGTGTGAGGACGTCATTAGAAAAGCCTTTCATGCTAATAACAGAAATTTGTAAGTAGATACAATTCACAGCACACTATTGTCAATAAATATTGTTTATTTGTTCACTCCTGTTTGTTTCTCTACTTTGGTGTCCAAGTTCGAAACTATTCTCTGCAGTACATTTTCCAAATCTGCCTTTTGCGGATATTTTGAAACTTATCTGTCGGATATCAATGTACCTGAATATCACATGAAGCAAGCACTTTCTATTGTTGTGTAGGTTCTGCAGGTTCTTACGTAATGTTTTGAGAAGGAAATTGAACTGATGCTTTATTTATTTGTTTTAGAGCAAAGCCACATTGGGCTATCTGCTGTGTCCACCACGGGGAATCGAACTCCGGATTTTATCGTTGTAATTCCGTAAACTTATCGTTGCCCATCTTGTGGATTGAATTGATGCAACAAGTAATATAATTATGACCTAATTTAATGTTATAATACTCACTCATTATATAAAGCCCCCCAATGGCACAGCGGTATGTCTGCGGACTTACAACGCTAGAATCTGGGTTTCGATACCCGTGGAGGGCAGAGTACGGATAGCCCATCGTGTAGCTTTGTACTTAATTACAAACAAACCGAAGATAAAGCTTCTTATGCCTTTCTTCATTGATATATATAGAAATACAAATAAGCGTAAATATACATTCTTCCTTCCGGTGGCTTAGCGGTAAGCCCAGGGCTTTTAACGCTAAAATTCGATGTTAAGACCCCTGTAATGGACTCAGTACAAATAGACCATTGTGTAACTTTGCGCTTGAAATATATATATATAATGACACTTTTACTATGACATTCTGTAATAATCATTAAGTACGCGTTATAACTGTAATCATGTTATTAAGTGTGCTGGTTTACATGAAGATTGTTCCATATTTTTTTTGTATTTTAATTTATACTCCTATCTATAGGGACATCTTTCATATAGCTTCAGAATAAGTAGGGGTGATCATTACAAGGCGCAACTAGAATAATTTCACGGTCATGTTTAATCATGAGGAATATAAAGTAGAGGACAACAGAAATGGTAAGCACGCGCAAACTGAAACGTCGTAGCCAGTGTTAAGGTAGTGGAGAGAACCAGAAAAAGTGTTCTAGTTAGATGTCCGGTTAGTGGTAAGACGAAACGATAAACAAACCTTATTTGAAATGAGATTGAAGTGTTTGCGTCAACTAAGGGGAACAAGGTTTAACGCCTTTATATAAATATCAAAAAAATATATTTCGTACAATAAGGACTAAAAGACACGATTAATAACAAGCAAGCGTCTCTGTGTTGAAGCTTAGGTTTAGAATTCTTTGATATTACCGGTTTGTCCAAAATATGACCTTTAATTTGAAATACGTATGATATAACCATGCCACAAGTTAAGGCCTGGCGTGGTCAGATGGTTAGAACGCTCGACTCGCAATCTATGGGTCGTGGGTTCGAATCCCCGTCCTGCTAAACATGCTCGACCTTTCAGTCGCTGGTAAAAGAATAGCTCAATAGTTGGCGGTGGGTGGTGATGACTAGCTGCCTTCCCTCTAGTCTTTCATTGCTAAATTAGGGACGGCTATCGCGGATAGACCTCGCGTAGCTTTGCGCTAAATACATTAAAAACCAAGCCGTTAGTTAAGGATATTTCAAGTGTTTACTGGCTTTTTTTTTTCTTTTTGAAATGTCTGTGAATTAATTAATTAAACCATCGTAGTTTTTACCTTGGTTTTTTCTTCTTGTAATAAATGACTTTCAACTCTTTCTTGCTATAAAGTGGATGTCTAATGATACTAGGCCTCTCCAGTTGTTGTGGTTTTTATTGGAGACGTAAAATCGAAACTTCGAGCAATAAATGGAGGTAGGAGAACGTGAATAATAAGTGGAGGGAATAGAACGTGAATCTATCCCCTCTATTATATGTTTTTGGACAGAGCGCAACTAGATCACTGTGTAGCTTTGCGCTAGAAAAACATCATGAGGTTAACTCACTAGAACTTACGATAATGTATTTGATTATCTTCCATGATGTCAGAAAAAACACGTAGGTTCAAAAAGAAGTCTTGATACAAAATGATAAAAAAAAACTTATAACCCGAGCGCTTTCGGAAGGTGACACAACTTCCAGACTATGAAATTTAATGTGAGAAATGCATTACATAAATCTATTCAGTGATAAATGTAAGCCTCTCAATAAAGTGACATATTAGTATCCCATTTTTTATCGTGTATTTTGGAGTTGCTTTCGAAGAAAGTCTGTTGTGAAAAGTCTTTCAACCTAATTGCCTGACATATCCGCTTCTCCTCGCCAGCGGTTTTTGACGTCAAGGTAGATAGCGGTTGTCAAACGGAGTTAGCAGCCTGTAACAAGGTGTTTGTTTTCCTGTTATACAAGTAACCCGTATTGAGGACGGTACGTATAAATAACGACAGCCAGTCTGTTGGACCACATTTCACGTACATTTGTTTGCTGCTAGATCGCATGGTGGCTGCACCGTGATGAATTATGGGACATATGGTTTAAAGTAACGTTACTGCGGTTTGGTAATTCTCCGAATTTCCCTTATCAACCATCATATTTGTTGAGTGTAACGAGGACTACTCACCACGAAGTTGATGAAATGACCACGTGAAATCATCTCGCGCATAACGAATTTCGCGTTCGCTTAGGGGGAAAAATTGATGTGTCAGTGTAAGCTAGAAGTAGAAATTTGACCCGAGAAACAGCAGATGTATATGGACGTCTGAAGGGGGAAAAAAACTGGCGGTAACCACAACAAACCAGATAACTACAGTGTTGCAGGGTTTCGTTGAGAAGGTTGATTCATACGCACGAACAGTTGATGAACAACAAAGCAATCGGCGTGTGTTTATGTTTGTGTTACGTACATTTAATGAATGAATTGACCTGAAAAAAAGAAAAAATCTGACGAGATTTATCCGCCAGGTCGCAGAAAATGTATGGAAAATTTTTTGTGAGGTCTTGAAAGACAGAAAAAATAGTGTAGCTGCATCATACCAGACTTATCATTAAATAAGTGGTGATTTATATACACATGTATAACTTGAAGAAAGAGTTTCCACGGAAATCCACATTCTGTGTAATGCTACGGAGCAACGTGGTAATTAGTATGTGTAAATGACGACCTAAACTGTGGATGTAAATACGAAAAACTTCGCTCACATTCACACTTGCCGCGATAACTAAAAAACAGCTGGAATTAATCAGTTATATTGTGGCACATTAGTGATCAATGTCAGAAGACGTTGTGACTATACTAACCCTAAAGGTGGAGTATTTTTACTGAAAATATCTTTATTTATGTACCTGTAACTCAATAGACTAAAATATAATAAGAATAAGAAACAGGATCGAAATATTAGGCTAGTAGTAGGAAGATGTTCAGACCACAAAACTAAAAAAAAATTAGTTTTAAGTACAATCAACATTTTCATTGTTTCATGAGCAGCCTAGTTTATTTTACTGAAGATGGCCACAGCGTATCAAAATGATCACTGGATTCAGGATGTAAATGATCAATATTCTGAACAATTACTCGCTGTTATCCAAGAGTTTCCTGACGCAGAATCTGCCGATAACGGCAACTCCAGAGGGCGGAATCTTTCTGAATCAACATCTTCTATAAAGTCCTTATATGGAGAGAATAAAAGTAGTATTAAAAGCAGTGAGCCATTAGAAAGAAGTAGTTCGTTTAGCTTTTCGAACCGTTTTGGAAGTGATCAAGACCTTTTCTATTCTGGAAATAGAAGAAGATCTTTTACCAAAGTCCATCTTGGAGGCCAGAAGCCTTGTAGAGTTGAGACTGTTTATGTTGATAATGTAAGTTTGACTTCTGAAGTACATGATCCTTCAGACTATTCTGAATTCTCTTCGATAAACCAATTTGACGAAAAAGCAGCAATTAAAGAAGATGAGGAACAGAAAGGGATCCATGATCCTCAAGAAACAAATATTAGAGCAAGATCAAACGGTAATAACAGTTGGATATCGAAACTAGGAAATCAAAAACTTACCAACGGGAGCTTTGGCAGAAAAAATACTGTTCCCAAAGAGAATTACTACTGGTATGTGTCTCCCTACGGACGACCAACATGGCGAGACCACTTGGTGGGTGATGCGAATAGATATGAAGATTCTTTGAATATTTGTTACAGACAGCAGTGGGCAGTTGGTCTTACCAGTTATCAGTTCGATAAGATTTGTTATAACTTAAGCCCAGCTAGACAGTGGTTCAATGGTATTCGATCGTCTTCCACAATTTCACTGACGAGTACTCCGTGTGATGGTGTCTCAGAACTTTCCACTAATTCTTTCGTTCGATCAGTGGTCATGGATCGACAGATAGAAGAGCAGAGAACAGATGAGTCTTGGCCTGGACAGAGGCGAAAAGCGCGATCCTTATCTCCAGAAAGTCTCTTCTGGCGAATAACTAACAGGTTTCGAAAAACTAGAGATTCACGTGCACTCCGGGCTCGGAAGTATCGTTCAGCATCCGTAGATCATGTGTTTGGGATAGAAGACCAGAAACATAGTTCTAGGAACACGTTTACAAGGTAAGCTAATAATAGTTCTCGCCTTGTTTGGTGTAGTATTATACGATAATACAGCGTCTAAACGATAGACGAGTGAATATATTTACGAAAGTAATTGACCTACTATTGGTTTATCTGCACTAATATCTACTCCAATGCTTCGGAAGTTTGAGATTTCCTTATATCTTCTAACACAGTGGTTCCAAAACTGTTTTAGGCTGAGGATCCTTTGATGTGAATAAAACATTTGAGGCCCCCCCCAACCTATAACTTTAGCATGGTGATTGAAAAACAGTGCCGTAGTAAAAACAGTAGCATCTACATTCGACATTCGAAATACTGTATCATTTAATTAACTCAACAAAATTTGTATTTTTTATATTTGTTTTCGGCCCATTTTTGGCGGCTCCCTAGGAAAAGCTTCACGGCTCCCTAGGTGTCCGCGGCTCCCACTTTGGGAAACACTCTTCTAAGATAATTACATTTTGCTTCCAAGACGAGAATTACGCGGGAGAAAGCAACATCTACACGCATCTAGAAAGTAAATGTTCTTATCTTTATTTACATAGTATTCTGATAATGTAAACAAACTCAGAAATGCTAATTAAATATAATTCTAAAACTTTTTGAGCCTAAAAAGGAAGTTTAATAATATTGTGTATTGTATTTATCGTTTCCAGTATATACATTAGAATAGAATAAACCTCTATGGTTCTCAGTGATTGCAAGCTATTATATAGAAATCAGGTATAAAGAAGAGAAAAATACTCAAATGGATAAGAAAAAAAAAACTTCTGATATAACAAACAAGTTCCAAACATGGCGCGAGTAACACAAATCTCTGGGCAATATTTTTGTTTATTCTGAATTGAGAGGCGCGGGTTGGTCCTGTGGCAGACATCTGGATTTCGGAGCCGTTAAGTCGTGTTGGAATTCATGCGATAGCACAAAATATTCCTCGTCCTCTGAACTGGGGGCGTTATAAGAGTGCCAGTCAAAATTAGCTTGGATAGTAAGGGGCTCTGGTCAGTAGTTCAAAATTAGAGGCTGCGGCAGATAGCTTAGTCATAAATACAAAATGCAAATACGTACCGAATTGTGAAACGATCAGTTTCGTGTTTTAAATATAGCTTTACCCAAGCTATTTCAAGATCTGGACTCTTTCACAATGTTACTTGTTGTGTGACAAAAGCTGCGATGTCATAGTGACGTCATACAGTTTCTTGCTACTTGGGGAAATATAATCACTGCTCCAGATTTGTTTTATTTTCTAATCTTATAGTAAATCTGTAACAAGTCACTGTAAAGAATACGGTGTTTATACTTATATTTAAGCCTTTCTCTATAATAGTATCTCTTGACAATGTTATTTATTAAACATGTGTACTCCGCACGTTTTATCGTACATTCCATTCATATAATCTGTTTAAATCTGTTCTTTTTAAATTTCCGATTGAATATGACAACTCGCTCAGTGCTAATGTTGTTTTTGAAGTTCGAATATTATGAACTAACTTTTCTTTTTATATTAACGCTGTTGATCGAATTTAAAGAAATTCCGAAACGTCCGTATTTAAGATGGTTTTTGGTGTTACCGTGTTTATTATAAAACTTCGTTTTCCACCTGATGAATCAGTTGAGAATATGAACAGTGTTATGATTTTGAACTAGTTTTCTTATCTTGGATGAGTTGTATTGTTGAAACTGTAAGACTTTGTTTTTCCTTCTCCTTTTGCACCCTAGTGGCGCAACGGGCTTACAACTCCAGAATCCGGGTTTCGATACCCGTGGTGGGCAGAGCACAGATAGCCTATTGTGTAGCTTTGTGCTTAATTACAAACAAATCCTTCTCCACTTATAAAGGTAAAACAAAGGAATTAACGATTTACATTGTTATCTTTGTTCATTATGTTTACAGCTGGAGATTTTACAGATTTTCTCTGACTTTCTGTACGTCAACATTCAAACGCTTTGCTCTGTTGTCGAAACGAGCTAACACTTTCTCATGTGAATGTGCCGGTACTCGAAACACATAAATACTTATAGAGCTTTTTCAGTGGAAAAGGCCTAGTTACTCATTCAAGAATAAATATTTATATGTTCAGGTACTTTATGTAAGTGTATTGCGTATATACAATAGAGTCGTAGGTATATCATTTTACAGGACAGCAGAGGTTTGTCCCAAAGCGTTGACTGTACTCGTATTTCTGTACTGTCTTACTAATATGTCCAGTTACTAAAGTTTAAATCGTGCTCGTGCCAGTGCTGTCGTGACAACTTGCATGTTGCAGTACAGGGGGGGGGTGAATAAATGTTGGTATTGATCGTATCTTTGTGTAAATAGCGAGATTCTGAGACGTCAGAGAGTAATTAACTACTTGAACTACATTTAAAAGTCGCGTGGCGTTCGGCTTTTCATGTTCAACATGTGTGACTTGGTATTTGAGTCGACTCCCTTATTCCGTTAGGGATAGAATGAAAGAATCCTGTGGATGAACAGTTTTTTTCAAGGATTTTTATTTAAAAGGAACTTTAGTATTTTGTCGTTTCCTGTTCGGGCGGGGCCTTATATTTTTTACTTTGATTGAATATATTTATTCAGTATCAGGGTTCACAGTAGGGGTTTTACTTAAGAAAATTCCAGCCATTAAAGGAACTGCCGTCCTTTTTCCAGGTTAACCTGGATTTATCGAGAGTCGTTTAACATTTTTTCAGATACTAAGAGAGGTGTTGAGTTGTGGTGGTGTTTATAGGTTTTTAATCTACCAAGTTCTTATATAACATCTAATGAACGACGACAAATGCTTTTAAATGTTGTAAGCCTAGTTTGCACACTAGGTTCTAGTGCAGTTAGGCTACAGCTATTAATATTATCCTTCCTTCTGTTTTAAAAACGACTCCCGTACTAAAAAAGAAAACGTACATGCGTTCTTCTTAACGCAAAACCATGCGATCACATTGTTCACAATTGTGGATAAGTACCCTTTACGTTAAATAGTCGCTAGGTGGAGATTCAAAAACGAAGAAAATTATTCCCAAAATGGCTGCGCCAATAGTAAACACGTTATTCTTTTATTAAAAAAACTCCCACGTATTACGTTATATTGTTTCAATAGTGAGCGAGAAAATTACGTGCAGAATTGAAGTAAGTACGATTTCTGGTTTGGTGTTTGTTTGAAATTAATCACAAAGCTACACAATGGGCTATCTGCGCTCTGCCCACCACGGGTATCGAAGCCCGGTTTCTAGCGTTGTGAGTCCACAGACATACCGCTGTTTCACTGGGGGCTTCTGGTTTGAAAAGAGTAAAATTACAAAAATATCTTCATGATGTTAGGATAACAAGTAAATTAGGATATCAATTAACGAAAAAAAGGACGAAAATAAGAAACCCAATAATTTGAACGCTTTTGAAAGGTAAACCTTTCTTCTTCAGAAACAAACTGGTTAATTAAACATTATGATTAATATATCTTACAATTTTCATCAACTTTTTATCACAAGTATTGCTGTTGTCACACCTTATGTGGCAAATGACTTTATTTTGTAAGAATTTTAAAAAATTTTAAAACAATATTTCGTTTTTTTCTACTACATTTAAAAGGTGGCGCACTAATTATTCGAAGAATAATGAATTATTATTTTTCTTTTTAATTAACAGCTTTCAGATTATATTGATATCAAATAAATTTTGTTATGTAGAATTGATAATTTATTTATCTGGCTTTCATACACTAATGTTATTAGTTAAAATAAAGCAGTGTGAATTGCAGTTTGATACAAACATTTTAACTTATTATATGAATACAGAAGTACGTGCATATATATATATGAACTTACATATACTGTATATGTATATCTAATTACTGACATTGTGCTGTGTCATGTGATTAAACATTTCTATCAGTGAAACGCATGTGCTTGTTCACGTGAACCACGAGAAGCTCTATGCTTTCAGCCTGTACATCATATAGTGGTTTCAAACATTCTTCCACAGTTTTATCTTGGAATTACCGTATTTTTCGGAATATAAGACGCACCCTTATTTTGAAGACAAAGTTTTTGGAAAAAAAACTACAGTCGCATTTGAAAGATTTTTATTGAACAAAAAATTCAATTTGATACTTCAAAAATTAGTATATATATATTGTTCTAAACACGAAAGAGCTC